GAGCAACATTGTCCTAGAAATCCCCGAGGACACGTGTCTTCATCATAGGCTTTTTCAGAAGAGTCCCATCAATAAATGTATAAAGGTTGTGGAAGCATGAAAAGCATAACCGAGATTAGATTAGCCTTTATTTCAAGGTTAGGATTGTTAATTAGTTAGTGCAAGTAATAAATAAGTACTTTGAAAAGTGATTATAAAGTTAATCAGCGATCATCATCTTAATCATTAATAAGTCTTTCCCTATTTCCAATGTTTGATTACTTTGATCACATGATTCTTTTACAGCGTTGTTTTCAGTTTAAAGACGATGCTTACCAGTGTTAAAAGAAGCAACCAAGAAATTTAAGAGATAGCTCACGTTATAATAAAAATGAATTATAAATTCAGATATTCGAATCTTGATAATTCTTTAACGTCAGGCCATGATGGATTTATTCCTTTTAAATTTCCTAATCCCAATGTCGATGCCCTACCTTTAATCGGACCGAAGAGGAGATTAGTCGTAGATTCAAACATCCCTGACTGTTGATAAAAAAAAAAAAACAAAGAAGAGGAGACCCAGTAACACTGACTTAACCAGTACTTGATCTTTATAAATCTTATACTCATCCATACCTTTTGTTTGCATGAAAGCATTTAAGGTTCTGTGATATTCTAATAAAAATAAAACTCACATTTATAATAAAGTGTAAACGAGAGAAGTGGTTTACAATCGTACTCTCATTTTTGAGAGATTGATTCCGATTGCGAGTTTAAGATAAAAATTGTAACTTATTGATGCAGCATTTCACAGGTCAAGGGCTCACACTTTCCATAGCTTTTTGCTCCAAGATTACACTTACGAGTGTGTTTAGTTCTATTAATATGAGGTAGGATTGGACTAAATTAGTTCGTTGGTCACTTAATAGTTAATACCAAATATAGATCATACTACAGAGTCTGGTTAGCACTAGTTCGAGTCTATACTGTCATCTGACATCACATTGTATAAAACCTAAACAATGTAATATATGATATTTGTGCGGGTGATTTCTCACACAACACTTGAGAGAGCGTATGATATTGTATAAAACTCTGACTAACGTCAAGCACTTATTGCGTATTCAAATCTTTTTGTCTTTGCCTCTCTAAGAGCTAATTGTTTCACAAATACAAACACATGCTAATGAGGAACATTTATTGATCATTGAAGTCTCGGGGCCAAGCATTTATTAATCATTTAAGAACATTTATCATGATTGATTGCAGTGTACTTTTTTGATCTTTTTGACCTTCTAGGGAGATGAAATTACGTTTGCTAGTTGTTCAAGTATGAATCTTCAGCAAACATTCATTCGATTATTCTCAGGTAGACACATCTCTCAAAGTCATATCGGTGGATGAGTTTATACATGGCTGTCAACCAAGAGTGTCTCCTCAACTCTTGTCATCATTGTTCCCCTGCTGCCATCGTACTCAACACCGAGTCAAGAGCATCGAGTCACCCACAAGTGCTCACCACCGATATGCCAAGGGATGCCAACTCGTTTCTTATCCCTGCACGGCGTAGGTAGACTTCTGGAACTTGTTGTTTATGTTGTTATTATGGAGAAATCAATAGTAGGCCTTCAAACCTCCTTTTCTTCTTTGTGGGCTTTCTCTTGTGTATCATTGTGCTTTGAAGGTCCCAATAACTCCATAGACTGATGGTTTGGTTAAGTAGCAACTTGTCCCCACAGTTCTCAAGTTATCATACAGTTTCTACCAAATAATACTTTGAATTATGTTTGTCAATGAATCGGATTTTGATTCAATTTTAATTACGTGTCCATGAATTAATATTTTTTACCAATAATTCAAATTTTAATATAGCGATATCTAATCCAATTATGATTCAATTCAAATTATTTATATACCAACGATACTCTGTAACTAAAATCACTGTACACTAATCTATGACACTGTGTATGTATTAGAGTGTGTATATAATAAAAGTGTGTGTGTATGCCATTGTGTGTTGTGTATGTTGGGTTTGTGAAATTTTGGGAAGATAAATTGTGCTTAATGTGTGAAATTAGAGGGAGGAATATACTTCTATAATTTCAAAAACCTAACTGATTTATTATTTAGATTTTTGTATAAAAATTAAAGAAATTTAATTAAAATTTAGATATAATTTGTTAAAATTTAATTAATTAAATTATTTGAATCAAATCGAATTTTGAGTTGTTAACAAATCCAAATATGAACCACGAAAAAAATTTGTTCGCTTATTGAATCATATTTGTATCAGATTTTTAAAATCGAATTTAAATTTACCGATCCGTTAACTGACCTACTTTAAATTAGACATTCTTGTCAGGTCTTACATCCCACAAGTTAATTTCTTAGATCCTTTTGTGAGGTGTGCGGAATATTATCACTCAACACTAAGGAATTCCTACATTGAACTGGGTCAGTTGTCCACTCAGTGAGTTCAAGGCTATCTTCTTTGGCTGATTGTAACTCCATTCCTAGCAGCTAGATGGCTATCTTATCCAATTCAAAACAAAAACCAAAAAAAAAAAAAAAGAAATAAAAAACACAAGATTTAAAACAATCCGTCAAGAGTCGTCTTGTTACTACCGCACCAGGGCTAGAGCTCAATGGCATAATCATTGAAACCGTCGCTTTCGACCTCCAACTTTTTAGGACCCTATTTTATAGAAGTTTAATTAAATCAAATGTTCAAATAAAATTTTTATATAAAAACTCAATTAAATTAAATTTATTTTAATACAAAAAAAAAATTTAGAATTGTTTAGATTTGATTCGAATTTATTTATGCCCTTAATAAAAACTTTCACATTATAAATATAATAATTTAAATCATATTATATAATAATTTAAATCATAAAATTTATTTTAAAAATCAATAGCACCTCATTTAATGCACACTATAGCAACTGTAATACAATGGACAGGCAGCAACTAGGGTAGTCACATGCAAAATTCAAGTATAAGCATTCACTTGCCCCCAAGTGCTTTTTTGTGGCCTACGATATGCCTTCCGGCCTCAATTTTCGAACTTTCATGCCCAAAAGATTTCTAGTTGAGTCTAAATCTCTCTCTCTTTTTTTTATTCAACAATCAAGGTGTGTGAGTCAATTAGTGTGTATTTTAATTAGTTCTCTCTCTCTAGTTTGATCAAAGACTAATAATCAATGTTAAAACTAAAATATTTATAAAAAATTAATTCCTAATAACTTAATTTCAAAAGTTTGTCAAAATTCAAACATAAGACGTCTGAATTTACAACTCATTTCTATTACCAGCTTCCGAATTGTATGTTCGTAGCAATAATTAGCCTGTTACTAGCATACATCATTAAGTATTAGTATACATTTGAACAAGTGGAAGGCTTCTCACCCTCAACAGTCTCATCTATAGACTAGCACCCCGATCAAAAAAGGATCACAGTTCAAGACATAGACACTGTTATAGATATGAAAACATTTGCCTCTCAAAACTAGATAAATGTTCAACCCAATGAAGATAATGAGCTTAACCTTTACTTGGGCCTCTGCCATACTGCTTCCTGAGATTGGGCGAGCTTTTTGTGAATGGTAATTGTGGGGCCAAACCCCCCAACAAAAAAAAAATACCCTCAAAGAAAAGAAGGAAAAGAAAAAGAAAAAAACTCCTCCATAATATTTTATTTTTGGCAATGTCTATTATCATGTTAGCAAATCATATCAAGAATTAGTCAAACAAAATCCACTAATTTTGATATCAAGTATCCTCTTATCAGTGTCAAAAACTGTCATTTTAAAACCGTATTGAAATATAAGAAAAAAATTTTACCCAAAAAAGAAGTAAAAATAATACATAAAAACTAAAAAAGTGGGGAAAAAAAGGGTAGAGGCAAATATAGAGATAGACCAAGTCCTACTTCTTTCGAGATCCAGACACTGTTATAGATATGAAATCATTTGCCTTCTCAAACAAGATAAATGTTCGCCCCAATGAAGATATTGACCATAACCCTTAACTTGGGCTTCGGCTATCATTGCTTCCTGGGATTGGGCGTAGGCTGTGTGTTTGGATGGTAATTTGGGGCCAAAACATCCCCACCTAAAAAAATAAAAAATATTATTATATTTAACATTAACCTATTTTATCAATTAGTTAAACTTAATCCTCTAACTTTCGTATCGACTTTGTCAAAATTATTACCCTCAAATCAAATTGAAATAGAAGAAATATTTTGTTACCCACAAAAAAGAAGTAAAAAAATATTTAAAAACTAAAAAAGTGAAAAAAAAGAAAAAAGAAAAAGGCGAAAATAGAGAAAGAGCAAGTCCTACTTTTTTCTAGGTCCACCCCGGAGAGATTGCCAGAAAACAGGCCAATTCTTCTGAGCTTCTTTCCAGCCCAGGAGTGAGCCTTCCCTCAGTGGATCCCAACTGGAGGACACAATCCCATAACTGACCCCCAGTAGGGCAGTCCCAAAGAAGAAGAACGATACTATGACGGGCACCCATGTGGGCACATCTATCTTCAACCCAACTTTGAGATAGTAAAAGAATGGGAAGAACAAGAGGCCTACAAACAGAGGGATACCCACTGATAAACCCATCCGGCTTATCATCCTGTTGGTCACTACTTCTGGTATTACGCCTTCCTCTGGATCTTCATCTTCTTCTTCATCATTATTGTCGTAACCTTTCTTTGTTTTCTTGGTCTTTTGGGTTTTCTTCGGAGAGGGACCAAAGCCTTTGGGACTATTCAAAGTAGCTGAGATTGGTGTGGTGTATGATATGTGAGTTCGAGTGTGGTAGAGTTTTGATGCGAAGATTGGGAATTGGGAGAGGTGTTTGGTAGGGGATAATGGAGATGACGATGGTATGGATGGTGGCGCAGTTGGATATGAGCAGGTTTCCATAATTTTCTCCAATCTTGGTTTTCCTTTTACATGGTATTTCAAATGGTTGGTGGTCACATACCTTCTTTTCAGATTTTGGGAGAAAAGCTTATCCGTTTCAAGATGGTGTCAAATTACTAGAATACCCATAGGACCATAGGAAGGCAATGGAATGAGGATGGTATGAGATGTGGGAAAGGCCCATGGCCTGCTCAGAAGCTGACAGGAAGACTGTATGGGCTCCGGGTAAGGCCCATGGCATACTCAGAAACTGGACTGACATGATCCATGACTCGCTGAGCCACAGGCATGATAAGGAACGTAAATGTGACGAAGCAATCGAGCACACGGTAAGCCTCACCAACTCCTATAGCCTAGGGGATTATGTTGCGAATTTTGTTGGTCTGGATGGGTGCAGCAAATCCCCAACTCGATGGGAGAATTTAACCACTCCGATCTGTGGGCTTATTGCTAAACTTATTAAAAAAAAAAAAGAAATTGCACATTCACTGACAATTATATAACTTTTGGTGCAACAGTAAATATTTCGATCCAACAATCGGTAATAGAGTAAAATCATCGAATCCCAAGGTAATTGTTGGAAGGATATTGTTGGCATGAATGGAGGTGCAACAAGTACTTCGGTTGAAGCAGAAACTTTTCTCTACTATCATATTTGTAAAATGTATGAGATGGCATTTAGAAGCCTAAGTATGAAATCCATTCATTTGTTTGATGTAAAACTAAGAAGGAAAACAGTAATTTGCACAAGCATATGTAATGTAGCATCACCTCCACTGCTGCCTGTTGCATGAAGACGACCCTCCAGACTGTTTTTCTGTATGTCTTCCCAGGAATTGATGTCTGAAAAGCACGATTACTCGCAACAAATTTTATCAAAATGTACTGCCAAGGCATCCAAGCCTTAGTTGATAATTAAGTGCTCACTTTCGGAAAGAAAAAAAAAGACAACAGAAGTGTTGACTAAGTCGATGGCCAAATATTTAGTTTAAAAGGAAACACAATGACATAGAAAATGCTTACTTACCGAAAAATGAAGACATAGACGATGCAAAGGAATTCATTGTCTTTGACACTGGCAGAATGTGGTTCCGCCTTTTTTTTTTCTCCCTCTCAATGTCGTGTTTAATGTCTATTTTATACAGTCGATACTATGTCCAGAAGAAAATAAAGAGTGTTGCATTGAGTAGTAGGCAGTCCATATAACTTGTCAGATGGACAATGAATATGAATCTACCTAGATGAAGACCAAGGGATTAAATGTAGGGATTAATTCTGCTGCCGATTTAGAAGTTTCGATGGAAGTCATTCATTCTTAAGAAATCTGTGTTGTGCTACACATATCCAAATTTCCTTTTATGGTCCATGTATTCTAGCCATTCAAACTTCCCCCGTCCCCGGTCCTATGAATACAAAAGATCCCGTCCCTGAGAATCTACAATGTATACAAAGTTTAAATCGCATGCAACGTAACAAGTTGATACGGACTGAAACATTTCCTCAACATTTACATCTCTCTTCTGAAAAGTATACATTTTCACATTTTTCCTATTTAGTAAAGAAAAATGCTATTTGCACCTAATTTGTTAAACCGATTGCCTTAAAAGCATGTGCAAAGGTTTGTGCTAACTATTTTGAACTAAATTACATTTTCACATTTTTCCTGTTTGTTAAACCGATTGCCTCCTACAAGTTTGAAATGTCTCCTAAGAGGAATGATAAATTATCTGAATCGATTTCAAATTCTTCACCGGTAAACTCCCAGCAAATTGGAATATTCCCTCACTAAACCAATTTCATTCTCTTGTAGTTGACACCATTCCTACTGTGTGCCTTCCTTCCTCTGTATGGTTGGCTCCACAAGGCATGGGCAAAGCCTGGGTTAAAAAGGTCACCTCATATTGGCATTTTACCATTTGAAAACATCAAAACATTTTGTTTTAGATACATTTATAGCTTTGACTCGTTTCATAAAGCCATTCATATCACAAGATATTGAATTACCAAACTGAATCTATGAACCATAAAATCTTTATTTTTTTTTCCACAAGAGACACATTTGGGAAAATACTAATCTTTTATTCCAAGTTCTAACTTCACACCATTGCTAAAGGATGTAAAAAATGCTGAGCTAATTGATTTGATTTCATCTTTAAAAGACAAAAAATCTGTATGACCCTACCAACGAATAATGAATTTTGTATCTCAATATCCAGGTTGTTATTCAATAAACTGCCATCCAATGTGAACCTCAAAAAGGAAAATTCTGAGAGAAAATGTTAAACATATCTAAGCATAACAGGGACTTAACAGATAAAGCACTGCATTCCTAGTTCTATAGGAATTCCGATGAATATTAGCTCTACGAATGGAAAAAAAAATGACACAAAGCTTCAAATTTGCTTACTCACCGAGGAATTTCTGTTAGTTTGACAATGGCAATTATGCTGAAGTTGATGGGATCCCATAACGGCTTTTGATAGCATCAACGGCTTTCTCGAAGGACTGTGAAAGCTTAGGGATGGATGTTTTGCACGCTGAAATTTTCAGAAACAAAAAGAGTGTATTTAAAAGAATCGCATGCTGGGCATCAATTTGCCGACACAAGTTATTTTGTATCTTTTGTTGGTCACAATAAGATGTTCAATAGTATCTTTAGAATCTAAACATATTTAACATCATAAATCATCTTGACTGTGATGTTACTCTGTTACAATTGTCTTATTTATATGTTGGTATACTTAATTTTTGCCTATTATGTTTAGGGAGATTGTGTGGTCTGATCTCATTGTCTCCTTCTCCCATTAATTTACTACTATGGAATGACACAACAACAAACGAATGATGATACCATAGATGCTTGTTTCTGAATTAGACAATGCTAATGTAACATCCAGCAGCTAATAGTCTCATACCACATAAATTTCCAGCGTCACATACAGGCATGGTACTATAAATTGCATACACCCAGATCCTTTATCACCATAATAGTATATGGTACAGTAAGCAAACCTACCGCGAGATGCACTAGCCTGTGCTGCTGCTATGAACTCTGCATATGAAGCCTGCAAATAAATCATCATGTTAAACTACTAGTAGTAGTAGCAAAGGATGTGAGGAAATTTGGACTGATATTTGTTACACTGGATGATCAACTACCTTCATTGCTTCCCGACTTTCATCAATCTGGTCAACCATCTTCTTGCATTCCCTGTCTGCTTCATCCATCACTTGCTGGCATGCCTGTGTTTGAATCTGTTGAAATTATCCCAAAAAATAATATTGTCAAAAGAAACAGCCAAAATAACTTAATGCTTCACAGCAAGCAATATTTTCTATGGTAGTAGCGGTAGTTAAAACTTACTTAAGTATCCTGTTCAACCGCTAAAAAAGATGTGGAACTGCAAAATTGTCCGATATTTCAAGAACAACATGACAAAACACAAGATGTTCACTCCACTCTACATTGCCACGACAAATATAGGACTGAAATAGTACGTCACCAAATCAAAAATGAAGAACACGTTACATTATTGGCAACTTGATCAAATTTGAACAAATCCTGAATCTACTGCAACAATCGAACTCAGCATTTTGAGAACCTAGTGACTTACCAGCGCATACCAGAAGTAGGGGTAGATCTAAATTAGAATTGAACAAAATAATAAGAAAAGATATAAAAATATTTAACTTCAATAAGTGCATAGTGCATGATCGAAATGAATGGCGAAAAAGGATTCATATACCCGACTCCAAATGATTGGGACATAAGGCTTAACTTAGTTTGGTTAGTGACTTACCACCACAGATCGCAACGTGTAACATTTTTGTAATACCATGAGCCAATATTCTTAGTGGTATAACACTGACCCCAGGAATGCCTGTTTTGGTGGCAATTTTATTACTCTAAATATAAACAGGCAGCTTACATAATTCAAAGGCAAATCAATTTCTCTAGTAGTATTAGGCATATAAGTGGAGCAAGTGAAATTCAGCTGATGTACTTCGTCCAGATTGTCTTTTCTGAACTGACAATGTTGCAAGCATTAATCATAGAATATTAAGAACACAAAGGAAGGGCAGCATTAGGCAAAACCGAAAATCTCAGTAGATCAGGGGAAGTGGATTGTGCCATTTAAATATGAATCACCTCTAATGAATAGTGCTACAAACACACTCATCAAGAAGGTCACCATGGCGCAAAACAAAAAAACAAATTTCAAGCTTGATTTCACTTCAAATAAGACCTTAAATAACCCAGGTTGTAGTTCAACCAATGTGAGAGTGTAAAACAAAACAAAGATGGACTTAAGATAACTAAATTCCATATGAATAAATAGATATGATTGATTAAAATAGCATCAGAATAAATACAGACCTCTGTAGTAAGCTTTCACAATACACAAAAAATATACCTTCACTTCATGCCTTTGGCAGAACATTTTAGGCACAGGCATATGGCACACAGAACACGTCACACTCAGTACTTACCTTTTATTGTGAGTTTTAAGAATATACTACAATATGAAAAACAGAATGCAGAGGCAGATTGTTAAAATCTCATGCAGCCTTCAGAAAAAGATCAGAGCACAACACTGTAAACTGTCAATTGGGATGTCTAACCTATTATATAGCGGAGCATTTAATTACTTGTAATATAAAAATTTAAAACAAGCGTAATAAAATTGAAAAAGATGCAGAGTGGAACTTCAGTGTCTACAAACAATCAGACAATAGAACCTAGATAGATGTCCAGTTATGCATCCAAGGACATCAAATTCACGATTTCAACCTCTATATATAGATGATTTATAAATACACACAAACAGACTTATGTCATCTGCACACATTTACATAGAGATATTTGGATAGACAGAAATGTAAACACATTAGAGAAAGTTGAACAAAATATCTATTTCTGATGAGGAATTATTCTATAGTAAAACATAATCTCTAATATACACACTCACAGAGAGAGAAAGAGAGAGAGAGAGAGAGAGAGAGAGAGAGACCTTGAAGCGCTTGTGAAGACGAGACTGAGAAGCCTCAACATCCTTCAGTATCTCCAAATGAGACCGATCCAGTTGGCGCTTGATGGACTCCATCTTCGAAACAGCCAAGTTCTTCAGATCCGAGATTGTGCTTAGGTTTTTCAGCGACGGTGGCGATCCGGTAGGTTGCATTGGCACAGGAGTCGATGCTCCACAGTTCTTACGATTGAAGTTCTTCTTCGAAGATGATGTGGTAGTGTTGAATGCGTTGAGCTTGAATTCGAATTCCACCGGAGATTCGCTGGGAGATTTGCTAGGGCTCGTTTTAGGCAAAGGAGAGACCAGAAGGTCCGCTGCTGAAGACTCCTTGCGTGATCTCTTCGCCATCTCTCTCTTGCTCGCTCGCTCGCTCTCCCTCTCTCTCTCTCTGTCGCCAGATGATAGTGGGAATTTCAAGTTTTGGATATTTATATTGGCGGGTTTTTTTTTTTTAAATTTGAAGCGCTTTCCAGGGAATTGCTAACCTGACGGGGTGGATGATGGGCATTTGTGCGTTACCTACCTCGTTTAGCAAAACTCGATATACAAATAAAAATAATGAAAAGAGATTAAAATAAATTTATCTTAATGGTAATGGGAGTAAATAGTAATTGACTGCAATTAATTATGCAGGTAAAAAAAATAACTCTAAAATTATCTTCCCTTTTTTTTATTTTTTTTTATAGGGCGTTTAGACTTGTGCTGACTATTCCCTCAAATTCAGCGATTAGTCACCGTAACTTGAGTTATTCAACTTGTTGGACTTGTTATTTAGTAATTCAAAGATCTCAAAACAATAGGGTTAGCATCCCTTATCCCTTTAAAGGCATACTAATTAGAAAAAGTAATTTAAATCATTGTGATTCATATTTCGAAAAATTGTGAACAAGTAGGAACATAAAATTAGCCAACTTATTTGGAATGAGAGTGTTGGTCGAATTCAACTGATTTGCTGAGATCCCGTTTGGTAACGTTTATGTTTTTCGTTGTTCGTTTTTCGTTTTTATTTTGATATTTAGAGAAAATAAGAAAAAAAAATTCGTTTGATAACCGTTTTTAATTTTTTTTTCCTGTCATCGTTTTGTAAATGAGGGGGCGATTTTCAAAAACGAGAAAAATACGTTTTTCATTTTTTGATTCTGCTTTTCATTTTTTAGAAAATTAAAAACCGTAAACGTTACCAAATAAGCCATAAAATTTTTAAAATTGAGTTATTCAACTCAAGTTCTCAAGATTTAATTGATCTGATAAAATTTTAAAAATTATGTTTACATTATTTGACCTTAAGATCACGAGTTAGAACTTCGACATCCCCATTCCCCCTTCTTTATAATAATGCCTAACTCAAAAAAAAATTCAAAGTTCTCATACTAACACGTGAAACATAAGTTTCATTTAAAAGCTTGTTTAAAAATATAAGTCAAGCTTGAGTAATGGTATAGTTTTATTCAATTTGTGATACACCCCCTATTAGAAAGAAGAAAGGAAAAATAGAAATAAACACGTAACTTTGTCGATGCACTACGCTAGTAAACATGCGTTTACTGAAATTGATTACAGCATTCTCTGAGTATTTTGAGTAACATATGAATAATTATATACAAAAATAAAAAATATATTACTGTCATGCTTAACTTGTATTCCAAGTCTAATTTTAATTTCTTTTTTTAAACACGTCACGTGGAGCACAGACTTGTGGATTGTGTTTGATTTTGTTTGGAATTGAAAAAGAATAAATTGTACCAATAGACCTTAAGGTTTGTCACTTGTTACACTTTCATCCTTAAAGTTCTAATTTCATCAATTTTGTCCTTCATGTTAACACATTAACTCACTTTGGTCCTTACTCCTAATAGCCGTCCAAATAATAGACAAAAAATATAATGTGCCTTGTACATGGGACTTTTGAGGGATATTTTTGATATTTTACTATTATTTATGCATCCAAACACAATTATCTATTATCTGTATACATTAAACATGAACTCAATCACCAACTTTCTTCTTCTTTTCTTTTTTTCTCCTCTCTCCCTCACACAAGCTGTATCATTCTCTCTCCCTCAAAAACGTAGAAATCATTCTCTCTCTCTCTCTCTCTCTCTCTCCACTCCTAAACCTAACACATCTGAATCCTAGCACAAACACAACAAAAAAATCACAAATACACACCCACATCATTACTACATCTCCACTTCTCAAACCCAACACATCTAAACTCTAACACAAACACAACATACACACAGAGAGAGACGCACAAGAGTGATGTATTCTTTGTTGGAGAGGGTGTGGAGAAGATTGACAGCTGTTGTGGTGGCAATAAAGGTTTTGAATTGATGAAGAATTAGGTATGAATTGGATAATGCTCAATTGAATTCTGATTGTGAATTTCTCTATAGATCTTCCGTATTGAATTGTGTCTTGTTTTCTAAAAATTCGTTGGGGACATGAGAATTAATGGGTCTAGAATGGCGGTAGTGGTGGGGGGGGGGGGTAAGAAGGGAGCGAGATTTGTTGTAGTGGAGGTGGGTTTACTAGGTTGGCTTGTGAGTGGAGGTGGAGGTGGAGGTGGAGTTAGAGTTGGAGCGAGATTTTGTTACTCTCTTTATGTTGGGTTGTGTTCGTGTTTGTGTGGTCTGTGTGCATGTGTCGAGTGTTTGTGTGGTCCGTGTGTAAAATTCGGGTAAATTTAAATTTTTTTTTTTAAAAAAATAGGTAAAACAGTAATTTGTCACTATAATGTGGATTTAAATTCAGTATTTTTCTAGAGCTTGGGTTATGCAATGGATCTCACCGATAGATTCGTCTCACGCAATCTAGTTACCCTGTCAATTTTCATTAAATTCTGAAATAATAGAATTTTTTACGTTTTACGAGACTATTAGGTGATGGGTGACCTCACAAATGTCTCTAAATTTTTTTTATAAAATTTTCTTATAATTGAAGGAAAGTTCAAATATAAATAATTTGAACTTTAACCAGAATGAAATTAAGAAATATTGGGACAAAAACGGACCCGAAGTAGGAAACGTGCACCGCGATGTGGACCGCGCAATTAAAAGTATAAATAGGAGCAAAATATCTGATTTTTTAGATATTTTCTCCCATTGTCTGTTGGTTCGTACGTTGGAAGAGAAAGAGAGAGAAGAGAGAAAAGAAAAAGAGATTATATCTTTCTCCCTTCGATTCACAGAGTTCAGTCAGTTGAAATTGCTTGAACCAAAAGTTAAAGTTGATCACCGCGACGAGGGCTACATCTACATACCAAGAATGAAAGATTTCACCAAAGATCCAAAGAGGAGATTTAGAAAATCAAGAGTTTTGGGGCTTAGGAGGTGTTCTTGAAGGTTCTCCATTTCATTTACACTCCAAGAGGTAAGGTTTCCTCCTACTTTGGTTTATTTCTTACCTAGGATGTTCTATGGAATGGGTAAGTGTATAGAATGACATAGGTCCCTTGACTATGGCTATGGAAATGAAGAAAGGGGTATGAAAATGGCTTACACCAATTCCTAGTTAAGTTTGATATAGGCAAAGTACTTGTATAAATTCCTTAGAACATGATATTATGTGGGAAATCTTGTGTGATAACAAGATTTGTGCTTTGAATGTATTTTGCTAAATGCCTATGTGAGAGTTGAGTTTGATATGACATGAGTTATGTATAACATGCTTATGGATTGTGTTTGATATAATGTTAATATGTGCTAGTTGGTATATTGACATTGTGATGGATTATGGTAATTATATGCAATTGATATAAATTGTCATGATGTATGACAAAACATATGGTTAAATTAGCTTATATGACATTTATTATATATGGACAATGACATTGATATTGTAATAGTGCATTACATTGCATTTGCACAGAAAAAATATATTCATGGCCATGGGTATAGATGTGTGTGTGCATGGTTGGATCAATCATTATACTTGTTGATTGATGAATGGGCTCGGAAAAGTTGGACTGAAGATCCGACTAAGTCGCATGGTTGTATGAAAGGAAAACTTGTGTCGGATATATAGCAAGAAGGGATTGATTCTCCCTCGAGTGCAAAACCCTGTTACTTGGTTCATACACTCCCCTGTGGTGAAATTCTAAAAAAGTGTAATGGTGTACGGAGCCAGAGGTGTGATTCCAAAATCCGATACCTAACAAAGACACATGATTTTATTTTTATAAATGGTCATTCGATGTGTATCATCCAACAAAATTTGGTTTTATAAACACATGACCTTTATTTCAAAATGATCATTGGATGAAATTCATTAATGATAGGTTTGCTACACATTAGCATTGCATTGTGTTGTGGGAGTCGGTGAGGACTCGGGTTAAAGTGCATGAGTGAGTGTCATCTCATATCATGAAATGACATAGAAGCACTCCAACATTTAATGACATATTTTTATTTGGAATGAAAAATGATTGTTGAATTACTGCATGTGCACGTTTCATATGTATATAGCGGGGAAGTAGTCTCTGTAGGGGATACACTATTGAGTGTAGCTCACCTTATACGCAAAATATTTCAAGTGCGAGATTCACAACAGCGGAGGACTCTCATTTCAAGCCTCAAAGATGAAGAGAGCCGACTTGTGGCTTTTGATAGCTCATTTTGTGTAATTTTTGTGAAAATTATATTTTGGGCATGTAATCCTATGCAATTGTCTGTAATAGAACTTGTACATGTTAGATTTTATGTGAAAAATATTGTTAAGTATATTTTGGATGATATTAGAGTGGGTTTGGAATTGATTGAAAATTGAAAACAGACGAAACAGGTAAAACTAGACAAAGTGTACCGATACAACCTTGTCCAGAAGACAAATCATACCGGTACAACGAGTTTCAGTAGGTTACTCGTACCAGTACAAATTTTCTAGTAGGTGACCCGTATCGATACAGATTTTCTAGTAAGTCACCCATACCGATACAAATTTTCCAGTGAGTTACCCGTACCAATACAGCTTTTCTAGTGGGCAACCCGTACCGGTACGCAGTACCGGTACACTTTCCAAAATTTTAAAATTACTTTGCCAAGCTTTTGGGCTATGGATTCTTTGATTTCAAGGATATAAATGGACATAAAATATGTGTGAAATGTGGTACTTTGAACTACGAAACGATTATATGATAAAATGTACACGTGTGAGTTATAATCCCGATTAAGGGGATGTTATTGACATGACGTTGAGTTTGCGACAAACACGTGTATTTTCGTAGGTTGACGGATAGTCAACAGTTAATAAATGACCCCCGATTTTAGGGGCATCACACCGTGTGCGTGTTTGTGTGAAGAAGGGGATGTGAGATAGAAAGAAA